CCTGAGATGTGGGTGCTGGAAGATCGCCCTGTGGGCATTGCCCTCAATCCTGTCCTTATGGTCCCTTTGGAAACTTCTGGCCTTGCTGGAGCCCGGAGGCCTCTGGTCTCTCCCTCCCCTCTCCTGCCAGATATAGCCCTCGTCTCCCCCTCTCCCCAGCAGCCCCCCCCCACAGGCTTTACAACAGACAAAAGCCAGGAGATTCACCAACTTCGTACCCTGACAGCCCCAAGTGGGGGTCTCCCCAGCTCAGCCAATAGGTCTCTGCTTAAAGTAAAACTGCCAAGATGGTGTGTGTGTGGGTGCATGTACATGTGTGTGAGTGTGTGTGTGTGTGTGTGTGTTTGTGTAGATGAGGGTCTTGGGAGGAGGGGTCGGTGGGGGAGGTGAGGGATCTTGAGAGATGGTGGTAGATGGAGCAGGCCAGGCAACCCCAGTGATTGTTTCATGTGGAACAGGCCGGGCACCCCCAGTGTTTGCCCACACAGTGCAGTCTGAGATGTGTGCGCCCCCTCCCTTCTGCCCTGCTGAGGGGAGCTGTCACCCTAAACCGCCAGCAGGCCTCCAGTAAACCAACCTAGGCCCCCGCCCGCCCGTGTAAGTGGAACTGCGGGGCAGCAGAGAGCTCTGCCATGAAAAAATCATGAGGACACCAAGCTGGGCCTGTTTCAGGAACAATGTGGGAGGCCAGGCCCTGGGCGCCTGCCAAGCTGGACCCTGAAAGCAGGTGATGGGCCCAGGAGTGAGGAAATCAGGGCCTTGGGCTGTGCCCAGCGGCACCTGGACCACCGGGGCAGCTCTCACCCTGTGGGGCCGAGGAGTCTAGGGCAGAGGGTTAAGGAGGGATGGCAGAGGCCTGGCCATGGGAGGGATGGTGTACCTCCATGGGCGGGATGGGGCAAGATCACCAACCAGGGCATCAGGTGGTCAAGGCCTGAGGCTGAGGCTCTGGGGTGAGACATCAGTGAGCTCTTCTGTGAGGAGTAATTCCCAGAGACTCACTGCCCTGTGGGCAGGGGCCTTCTGCCATTGCTCAGTGCAGGGGGCCAAGATCTGATTTAGGAAAGGTGTGACTGTGGAGGTCCCTCAGCCGGTGGAGCTGCCCTGGCCCCCATCCTGGGCCATTTCCCAGCTTCCAGGGCTCCAGGCCAGCTGAGGCAGAGAGGGCCCCCTCCCCCAGCCTGCACATACACAGCACCTGTGCCAGCTCACACCACCAGCATCAGTGTTGCCCGGGCACCAAGCCTGGTGCACGCGCTGGTTGCCATGACAGCAGGCAGCATGCTGGCAGGAACCCAGGCTGGGCTCTAGCATCAAGGGCTGGCTGTCTAGACGTGCAGAGGTGGGGGTGCTTTCCCTGGTAGCCCCGGAGGAGCCTGGCTGGGGGGAGTGGGAGGGGGGTCCCTCCAAATGGCTAGGACTGCCCAACCCCCAGCATTCCAGGAAAGGAACAGTTTTCTGAGAGCTGCAGGGCGGATGTTAGGGGTCTGGGGGCTTTAAGGCCCTCTCTGCTCCTGGTCCCCCCACCTGAACACTAAGGGGGGCAGGAGGCCGAGGATCAGCCCCAGCCTTGTCTGCTGGGGGTGTCTGACAGCTGAGGCCACTCCCACCTTCTGGGCCCAGCTGTGGCCCGAAGGGCCCATCTGGCTGTGTCCATCCGCAGATGGCCACTCCCGGTAGTAGGGGCCAAAGGCATGGCTCATTGTAGGAAATGGCCCCCTCCTCCAGTCAAACATATTAAAGTTGGTGTGTTAGGCGGCCTGACATCTGTGCCCAGGCCTGGTCCTGGTTGCAGATGCCAGTTCAGGGTGGTGGGCACACACTGGGTTCATGCCCCCGCCCCTGGGAAGGGACGGGGTCAGGTTCAGAAGTGAGCAGGGCAAGTGAATGGGGCTCCCAGAGTGGCAGGGACCTTGAATGTCCCAGAGCGCAGGCTGGACAGGGCAGCGGTGGGCACATTTGTGTGCCCCAACTAGGTGGCTGTGTGGAAAAGTTCTGGCAAGAGGTATGGGATTCTGTGGGAAGGGGGCTCCCCATTGCCTGTGGATGCTGCCACGGTGTGACAGACACCCCTGAAACAAACTCCCTTAGGCCACGCACAGCATGGTCACCCTGCTGGGCAGCCCCAAGGGGGTTCTGAGGCTGGTATCCAGAGTAGCATCTCCGGGCTGGGGCTGACCCAGCAGGTGACTGTGGCTCACTCTGCCCAATTCCTGCCTGTGTGTACTTACACACACACACACACGCCCAGACTTTCACGCTTCCTGCCCCATATATCAGCAGATCCTGGGCCCATCACACAGGAACCTCCACATCAAACATTCACAGGCACTTATTAAGTATCTACTGTGTGCCAGAGCCTTGCAGGGGATCCAGAAAGGAACCATGACCCTAGCAGGCAGCTGGACAAGGCCCTGAGATCCTAGGAGGAGGAGGGAGGGAGGGAGGAGGGACCATCTGTGCAACCCCCCCCTCCCAGGTAGCCTGTGCTGGAAGGCCCGCCTCTCAGAGCCCACTTCCCCCTACACCCCTACCCCCTACCCCCTGGGCCCCTGGATCAGTGCTGGGGAGCCCCACCCACCCCCACTTGGGGCTGTGGGGCCCAAAAACTGAGAGGCCATGGGCAGTTCTGGCTCTGCTGCTGAGAGGCTGCCTGGAGCCAGGCCTGCTTAGCGCCTGGCGGCTGGGCTTCCTCCCGCAGGGCACGTGATGCCCATGAGCACCCTGCCAGCACCAGTCAGCACTAATGAGGCCGTCATGCTAATCGGGCCCGGCGGGCTGGGGGTTGGGAGTGCAAGGAGAGAACACTGCCCGTGCCCGGGGTGGCCATGGGCACAGCTGCCCCTCGGGCCGCCCATACACACAGGAACTGAAGTGCGGACAGCCTCACAGCTGATACCGCCAAACCAGGACACTTCCCTGGCATCAAGCGCTGGGCAGTACAGTCTCCTGGGAACGTGGGGGGATTTCGTGTAGGCATCATCTCTGCGGAGGGGGTGCAAGCCCAGACTGAATCTCCCTCCCAGGGGGTACCTGGCACACAGCAGTGTCCCATAAACCCCTCTGGGCCACAGAGGTGGACGGCACTAGCCAAGACCAGTTCCTTACTCAGTATGCACCATGCTGTCATGGGGATCTGTGTGCAGACCTCTCTCCCTGAACCCCAATGTGAACCCCTCAAGCAAGGGGTCGGGTCTCCTGGTCTGCTCAGTGTCTGCACGTGCCTGGGGAGGTCACTGCCTGGGATCCAGAAAGTGGAGGAATGACTTCCGAGCCATGTGCCCATCCGCCCCACCCACATCCTGGGGCCTCCGCATGCCCAACCCGAGGCCCCTTCATTCTGTTGGACCCCCGCATGGCCTTGAAAGGGATGGAGGGGTGATGCCTGGAGCATCAAGGGCAAGACTCAGGAGGCCAAGGCTGGAAGTGCCCTGCAGCTCCCACTCCTGGTCCCCAGGGAGGCCTGAAGGTCACACGCTATGATGAGGAAGAAGACACCAAGGCTGGCCCAGGCCCAGGGCAGGTGGCTCTGGTTTCACTACTTGGCTCCTGGCCCCTGAGGCAGGTGCAAAAGACAGACAGGCAGGGTGAAGCTGAGCAGGCCCACCGCAGCTCCCAAAGACAGCCTCCTCGGGCTCAGGGTTCCGGGAGGTACAACAGGGTGGGACCCCAGAGACTGAGCTGGGAGGTACTGGGGTCAGAGGTAGCCGCCTGTGGCCTCATCCTTCTGCTGGGAAGGCTTTGCCCTATGTAATCGTGGGACTCGGCCCATTAAGGACCCCATAAGGACCCCACAGTCAGGCCAGTCGCTCTATGCAGTGTGAATGGCAGTTCAGGGGTCCCCAGGGCCACCCATTAAGGCTGGCTTCACCAGAGCCCGCCCATGGCAGACAGAGCAACCTCATGGGCCCTGAGAGTTGCTCAGGGTACAGGGGTTGGGTCCGAGCCTGGCCCTCTGACCCCAAGTCCAACGGCCTGCCACGTCCTTGTGCTGCCCGGGATAATGTCTGCTCCACATGTGTGCTCCCAGGTCACCCTCCCTCTGTGCAGCCCGTGAGGCAGGCGTGACTGTCTCCATCACACAGCTGCCACCTCAGCCCAAACCGAGGGCCCTTCCCCCGGCAAAGCCAGGCTTCCTGGCCAGTGTGAATCTGGCTGAGCAGCTGCCTCTTCACACCCGGTTTGGATCTAGGTGCCATGAGTACCAGGATGGGGGCATTGCCTGGCCCGCTCACTGGCACCGACAACCCTGCCTGCCACTTTCCCAGCTACAGACCACCCTTGGGAAGCACCAGACTCAGGGCTGCAGGCTGTGACCCAGGGGCTGCTGAGGAGGACAGTGCAAGGCTCGGCCACAGCTCGGCCCGGGTAGCAGCAAGGAATCAGAGAAGCGGTAACTGGATCTGGCGGCCCAGGGTGGAGGGCTGCGATCGGGTTGCGGCCACATGCAAGTTTTCCACCAGACAGCTTTCTCTACCTCGGGAAAGAGCTGGCCTGGGCTGGCGAGTCTGTGCAGTGGGTCTGGGGGCCTGGAGGTGGGGGGCAAGGAGAGAGGCCAAGACTGGGGGGTAGGTGTCCAGAGGGCGGGGTACAGCACCAGAGCCAGGGCCAGGCAGCCGCTAGCGAGCACAAGGAGGTGGTCAGCCCTGCGGCGAGTGGCGCTCTCCAGCCCCACCGGCCCTGGGCTCTGGCCCCTGGGCAGTCCGGGAGTGGCTGAAATCCAAGCTGGGGTAACGAAAGGCTGCTGCTGTTCCTAAGCCGGCACGGCTCTGATCCGCCCTCCCACCCGCCCTCTGCTGCCCGCTGGCCATGTAAGAGCTGCCTGGGCCCGCCACTGCTGGTCAGAGGCAGCATCTGAGCGGGCAGCGGGTCCATGACGCTAGTCGGGCCTGGGGGCCGTAGGCCAACCCAGACGAGCCGGGCCTCTAGGGGATCCCAGGGGTGGTGAGCACAGAGAGAGCTTCCTGGGCCCCTGTCAGGGACCTCAGCCAGGCCCAAAGATGCCCACCAATGGCCTGCACCAGGTGCTGAAAATCCAGTTTGGCCTCGTCAATGACACTGACCGCTACCTGACGGCCGAGAGCTTTGGCTTCAAGGTCAATGCCTCAGCACCCAGCCTCAAGCGGAAGCAGATGTGGGTGCTGGAGCCAGACCCAGGGGAGGGCACTGCTGTGCTGTTTCGCAGCAGCCACCTGGGCCGTTACCTGTCAGCCGAGGAGGACGGGCGTGTGGCCTGCGAGGCGGAGCGGCCGGGTCGCGACTGCCGCTTCCTGGTCCTGCCGCAGCCCGACGGACGCTGGGTGCTGCAGTCAGAGCCGCACGGCCGCTTCTTCGGTGGCACCGAGGACCAGCTGTCCTGCTTCGCCACGGCCATCACCCCGGCTGAGCTGTGGACGGTGCACCTGGCCATCCACCCGCAGGCCCACCTGCTGAGCGTGAGCCGGCGGCGCTACGCACACCTGTGCCCGCAGGAGGACGAGATCGCGGCCGACAGCAACACGCCGTGGGGTGTGGACGCGCTCATCACGCTCATCTTCCAGAACCGGCAGTACTGCCTCAAGTCCTGTGACAGCCGCTACCTGCGCAGTGACGGCCGCCTCGTCTGGGAGCCCGAGGCTCACGCCTGCTACACGCTTGAGTTCAAGGCGGGCAAGTTGGCCTTCAAGGACTGCGATGGCCGCTACCTGGCACCCGTGGGCCCCGCGGGCACTCTCAGGGCGGGCCGCAACACACGGCCTGGCAAGGATGAGCTCTTCGACCTGGAGGAGAGTCACCCGCAGGTGGTCCTGGTGGCTGCCAACCACCGCTATGTGTCAGTGCGGCAAGGTAACTGGGGTGCAGGGCCAGTCACAGGGTGTGTGTGTGTGTGTGTGTGTGAGTGTGTGTGTGTGTAGGGTCCTGTAGCGAGTGGCTCTGGGTTGAGGGGTGAGAATACGCTTGTAGTAGCACACAGTGTAAGTGAGTGGGCCGTAGGCCATGTATGGGGTCCCTGCTGAGCCTCGGGCCCACTGGACAGCTGCTGAATGCAGGATGGGCAGCACCCAGCTGGAGGTGGTTGAGGCCCAGGCTCACTGCTCCTGCCCCATCCACACTGGGCTGCCCTCTGCCTGCCCTTCCCCTTTTCTTCCATCACCCCACTTCTGAACTTTAAAGGAAACAGGGGCTGTGACCAAGGGCAGGGAAAGCAGGCAGCAGGAATGGAGTGGGGAGGGGTCCTGGGGGCCCTTCCAGTCCAGGGAGATGCAAGCGGTCCCTCCAGGGCGTGGACTCCTTGGTGGGGAGACACTCTCTCTGCTCAGCAGGTGTCGCGTGGCTCCCCCCAAGTCCCCGATCATTGGTCACCTGCTTCATGTGACCTGCAGGCCCTTCTACACGTGATCATCTGCCTGTGGGGTGAACATGGGCAGCTCTTACTTCCCCTTGAGGAAAGTGAGGTTCCAGAGTGGCTCCATGCCACTTGGACTCCTGGCTCTGTGCACCCAGAAGGGGTGGGTGTACCCGGACCCAGCTCACTGCCACCACCTGGTCCCAGCTCTCAGCACATGGAGGGGTGGCCCAACTGTGATTCTAGGGGTCCCTGCCTGTCGTTTGGATCTTCAAGGCCAGTGCAGAGTAGGGACCGGCATTCAGCAAACACCCCTTAGTCCTTGTGGCATGTGGTTGGGTCCTGGAGTGTAAGGGAGAACAGACAGCCCCAGTCTTTCCCATCACAGGTTCTACTGTCTGGCCACACTGCTTTCTGGCCTTGACCAAAGCCCATATGCTTGGTTTGCCAGTAAAAGGTGGGCAGTAGTGGGGAAAGCTTTCTCTGTGAGTCAGAGGAAATGCTGGATACAAAGCATTTGTCCACGTTCAGCTTGTGAGTGAGACAAGTGTAGTGGGTATGGTGGTGATGCTGGTGGTGGTAAAAGTGGTGGTGGTGATGGTAAGGGTGCCATGGTGACAGAGATGAAGCTGGTGGTCCTGCTGGTGATGGTGATGGTATTGGTGGTGATGGAGATGATGATAGTGATGGTGATGATGATGGTGGTGGTGGTGAGGGGGGGATGGTAGCCGTATAAACCATTTTTCATTCTCTGGATTACCCTGCATCTGACCCGATCCCTTTGATGGGGGAATTCCCCCACAAAGGAACAGATTCACTCCCCCACCACCACTGTGGCCAGAGGTACCTACATTCACCTCCCTGCTTTCCTTGCAGTAAGCCTGAGGGCATCAGACCTGGCCCTGAGATGTTCTGATGTTGACTTTGCTAACCAGTGATTCAGGGAAGCAGAGTGTGGCATCTCAGGCTGAGGGAGCAGGGGGATAGTGCCACTAGGTTTTGAGGCAGCTGGAGTGGTGGCTTCTGTGGAGTGGGCTGGTGGTCCCTTGGTCCCTGTCATTTTGCTGGCCAGGTAGCCCCAAAACTTGTCTCCTTCCCCCAGGCCAGGGTGTTTGTGAGCAAATTGACTTTTCCTGCTGATATTTTTTTTCTTTCCCAACCTCCATCAACCAGAGTCTGCTTGTTTCTGCTATGCCCACTGCCAGCCCTCACTGATATGGCATTGCTGCCAGGCTGCCCAACAAGCAGTGTTTGCTGCTGCAAGTAACAATGACTGCTTATTGGCTTAAGCCACGAGGACGCTAATATCTTGCCTAAGTGGAGGTCTGGAGGCACAGGAGTGGTGGGGTCCTGAACAGGCACCACATCCAGCTCAGTGGCATCACAAAAGTCCTCCGCTCTTTCCTATTTTTCTTGGAGGAACTGCTCTCCCAGGACAGCTCTGACCTCAGACTGGTGCCCCTGTGGTCACAAGACAGCTGCTGCTATTCCAGACCTCATGTCCAAACAGAACAAAGTCCAAAGGAAAGAGGGACACTGGTTCTTATTGTGGCTTTGCAGGAGTAAGAACAGGTCTCCTGTAAATGCTCAGACACCACTTCTTGCTCACACATCCACCACTTAATCAATTCCTCCTGGGACAGTAGGGTCCATGCTCTTTGCCAGCACCAACCAGGACTCCATGAGACCCTGCTGCTGCAAGATCAGGGTCCCAGGAGCAGCCGGCTGTGTGAGACTGAGCCCCTGGGCTGTATCCTGTCTGGAGGGGGTGTGTGAAAGGTGATGCTGGGGACACCAAGAGGCTTGACCTCAGAGTTGGGGGTGGAAAACCTGCAACCACAGCCTCAGACCCCTGGCTTCACTCCTCCCTTTAGTACCTGTCAGATGGTTCCCTCACCTTCTCAGGTCTTGCTTCAGGGAGGCCGTCCCTGGCCAAAACCCCAGCAGTCATGGGCACAGGACATACCATTTTTGTTGTCCACCGCTCCCCATGGGCCAGCATCTGGAGAACAAGAGCCATTGTTTTGTTATTGCTGATCACAGGCTGGGGGCAGCAGGAGCCTACTTTGTGCAGTACTGCTGATGGGATGGTGGGGTTGGCAAGGAGAAGGGGTCACTTTCTTGGGGTAGGAGCAGTAATCTGTGTAAGAAGGGAGACAGACTCCAGTCTGGGGGACAAACAGGACAAAGCCATGGGCCCCCCTCTCCAGTCAGGGCCCTGCCTGCTGTCCCACTTCCTTCCCAGGGGGCAGGGCAGGACAGGATGTGGCCCTGACCCTTCAGCCCTGATGGGGGTATGCCCCACTCCCTTCTGCTTGGCTTGCTGGAGCTGTTGGGGCTCAGCCTCAGGGGAACTCTGTGATCTGCCAGTTGCGATGGAACAAGGACGTGGTTTATGGGAAGATACCAGGGAAACTCCACTGCCTGACTGCTCTTCCCCACCCTGGTCACAGATGCCCCATTCATCTCCCTCCCAGGCAGAGTCCCAAGTAGCTTTGCCCTCCCTCTGGGGTCCTGGGAGACCACACACATGTGCATGAGGGGCTGAGGAGGTGACAGGGGGCCAGTCCCTGCTCAGTGCCCAGGAACAGACCCCAGGCCCTCGCTGTGTCCTAGGGAAGGACAGGAACCCTGCTGTGTCCACCCAACAGCTTAGGGAGGAGATATAAATAGAGGCTGCTGTAAGTCCTGGGTCCAGAGAGCAGGAGCAAGCAGATTACCTGCTGATTAGCTGAGGCAGGGGATTTGGCGGCACGGAAGGGCCTGGCTCCTGGGGCTGTGTTGGGAACCCGGCCTCTAGGGAGCAGTGCGCCTGCACAGCGCTAGGGCAGAACTCCAAATGTTCTCAAGTCCAAAGGGTTCTAGATGAGACCCCCACTGACTTCAAGGATGCCCCAAGAGCATGCCTCCCCATCCCTCTGCTCCCCACCCCACCCAGGGTGAGGCGTGAGGGGCTTCCCATCTCCTCCCTCCAGGGGTCAATGTCTCAGCCAACCAAGATGAAGAACTGGATCACGAGACCTTCCTGATGCAAATTGACCAGGAGACAAAGAAGTGCACCTTCTATTCCAGCACTGGGGGCTACTGGACCCTGGTCACCCATGGGGGCATCCAGGCCACAGCTACACAAGTGTGAGTGCACCATCCTCACCTCTGTGACCCCCTTCATCTCCACCAACACCAACATCACCACCTCCACCATCACCATCACCTCCTCTACACGCACCACCTCCGTTGACGTCACCACCACCTCCTCCATCATCACCACCACCATGATCATCTCCATTTCCACTACCACCTGCATCACCACCTCCACTTCAACCATGGGGACCACGTAGCCACCCAACCAGGGAAGAAGGCTGCTAGCACATGGGGCAGCTCTTCATGGTGGTGGGCGTAGCAGTGGAAGTCAAGTGCCTTGAGAGGGTGGTACTGGGCTTGAAGGAGATGGGGGAGGTCTGACCCTGAGTCCCCATGCCCTGCTCCTCTGAGGGGACCTTGACCTGCCCCTTCCAGTTCTGAGAACACCATGTTTGAGATGGAGTGGCGGGGCCGACGGGTGGCCCTCAAGGCCAGTAACGGGCGCTATGTGTGCATGAAGAAGAATGGGCAGCTGGCAGCCATCAGCGATTTTGTGGGTGAGCATACCCCTCCTGCCCTGGGGAGCCTGGGACTGGGCACTCTGCCTGGGGACAGTGCCAGCTCAGCCCCTGTCTCCACCCAGGGCTGGGCCCTCTCCCTCCCCACGGAGCTGCTGCTGTCCGACAAGAGTCGTACTCCCTGGTCCAGCCCATTGTTCTTGACATGGGGGCTCAGATCCAGAGCATCTCGATCACTGTTGCACTTCTGGGGAACCAGGGGCTCACATAAGCGGTGGGCAGATCCAGGCGCACAAGCGGGACAGGTCCCAGCCTGGCGCTCTTGCGGGGCTGTGGGAAGGCCCCTCAAGCCCTTGTCTTGCCAGCAGGGGAGGACGAGGAGTTCACGCTCAAGCTCATCAACCGGCCCATCCTGGTCCTGCGCGGCCTGGACGGCTTCGTCTGCCACCGACGTGGCTCCAACCAGCTGGACACCAACCGCTCGGTCTACGACGTGTTCCACCTGAGCTTCAGCGACGGCGCCTACCAGATCCGAGGTGCAGGCTAGTGCCAGCGGGAGGGGCAGGGGCCCGGAGAGAGTGGGGAGGGCTGTGCCCAGCCCGGATGGGAGAGCGAGCCGCCCGCCGACCCCTCTCTGCTCCAACCCCAGGCCGCGGCGGCGGGTTCTGGCACACCGGCAGCCACGGCAGCGTGTGCAGCGATGGCGAGCGCGCCGAAGACTTCCTATTTGAGTTCCGGGAGCGCGGCCGCCTGGCCATCCGGGCTGGGAGCGGCAAGTACTTGCGCGGCGGCGCCTCGGGGCTTCTGCGGGCGGACGCAGACGCGCCGGCAGGGGTCGCACTCTGGGAATACTGAGCCATTAAACCGTGTCTGTGACCAGCAGCTCGCGGGTCGGTGGCGCCGCTCGGGGTGTGTGGGGAAGGGTTCACATCGGCCTGCCAAAGGCTCGCTGGACGCTCGTCACTCCGTCATCCCTCATGCCCAGAAAAATCCAAGGTCGGCACTTGTCCAGCCAATTGAACGTCCCGAGACCCCTTTCTGGACGGCCAGTCCCCGGCCTTCTTTTGTCTGCATCACTCCTTGGCACATATCTTCCCCCCAAGCTGGGGGGCGGGGGTGGGTGGGAGAGGACCCCCACTCTACTGAGTAGGACCAGGATGGGAGTGGGACAGCTGGGAGAAGCCTCATCCCAGGCCCCAGCAAGTCAGGTAGGTTAGAGGGTCTTCAGGGTCTCCATAGAGCACATCACTGCTCCCTTCCCCAGAGGCAGGGTCTTAGGGAATCCTGGAAGCACCCAATGAAGTGACCTCCACCCCTCCCAGACAGGGTTATGTGCGGCCAGCCATGGGGGGAGGGCTCTTCTCAGAGCCTGCTGCCACCCAGCCCCACCCAGTGTAGGAAGGGCGGACCACCAGGACAAGGCCCATGGTTCACCCACAGGTCTCCCCAAACCAGCTGGCACCCAAAACACCCGTCACCAAGGACCCCCACCCAGGCCAATGCCTCTTGGAGGTGATGTGTAACCTGAACCACAGGAGGTGGGAGTGGGGTGGGAGGCGTGCCCCCTGGGATTGGCCTAGGCCTTGAGGACTGGGGTGACGGAGGGGCTGGGGGGACAGCCTGAGCAAAAGCAGGGGAAACCACAGGCTTCACCGACCCTTCGCCTCAGCCCACACCCTCTCCCACCCTGGGCAGCCCTCACTCTTGCCTGGGGCCTGAAGCGCCCCTTCCAGTGAGTCTGGCCAGTATGAGGCGCTTTGGGAAAGGGGGGCAGCTGGGACCCCTCTCCAGGGCCCCCCCTTGGCTGGCTCCCTGCCTCACCTCTTCCTCTCACCTTAGGGATGAAGAAGAGTTGGGTCCCACGTGGGCCAACAGGCCAGGGTGGGCTCTGACGGACACTGGCCCCGAGGGGACGAGGAGACTGCCCTGCATGCGGCCTGCACTGCCCCCTGGTGGCCTGGGGGACAGCAGGGTTGCCTGCTGGGCACTCTTGGCACCTTGTTCAAGTGCTCCAGTGGGCGCCAAGAAGGGTCTCCTGTTTGCTGACCCTGGCTGGACAGGCTACTTGGCCTCAGACAGGCTGAGTGGAGTCTGTGCAGTCCAGGGCAGTGGCTGGAGATGGGAGGATCGGAAGAAGGCTTGGGGGTCCCTGTGGGCTGGCCTGCTCACTTCCTCCTCCCCTGGGAGGTGACAGGAAAACAACCCTCAGAAACAGCCACTAAGGGGGTGTAGGCCCTTCCCTGGTTGGGCCACAGCTCCCCTCCAGGCTGCATAAGGACCACCCAAGCCAGCAGGGACCGGAGGCCAACTGCTTGCTCATCCTCAGAGGCAGCTGTTACACTGTTCCCAGCACACACAGGGACAGAAGTCACAGGACAGTACTGGGTGGGCACACCCCCTCCCCATCCTCCCTCCTGCTCAGAACACTCCAGTGCTGGGTCTGTGTGATGACCCCAGACCCCAACTTGGAGCACATCACCGCCCCTCTCCCTCAACGGAGGACGACGAGATGCCCATGGTCCTCCTGGGAAGGGGCCCCCATGACCTGAATGGCCCTGCAGGGACCACTTCACCCCAGTGTCTGAGGGTTCCCACTGGCCTGCGGGCCCCAGAGAGGCCAGTTCAAGGCTCATCTGGGGAGTGCAGTGGCTACCAGCCTTGGCGGGGGCTTGGAGCTGCGGTGAGCCCAGGAATACAGGTCAAAGTTGCCACCAGACCAAAGCAGGGGGAGGCGTAAAAAACAGCCCGGGACAAGGTAGAGCAACGGAAAGGGTCATTTTTTGAGGCAGGCTGTCTCGCAGGCCCTGCATGCACAGCAGGAGAGCACCGTGGGAAGTCCAGGGGGAGAACCACCCTCCCCCAAAGCACCGGAGCCGCCCCGGGGCTGCTGTCTGCCCCAAGGGACCCTTGGAAACAACGCACAGTGCTGGGCGCTGGGTGTGGCCCCGGCCAGAGGCACCTAGTTGTTGAGTGTTTTGGCCACAGGGCACCTGCAGGAAAAACTCCCCACCCACCCCCACCCCCACCCCGAGTCTTTGTGCTTTGGTCACAGGGAGCACCCTCCCACCTGGTGACCCCAGTAACTGCAGAAAAGCAGAACCAAGGCCCCCAGAGCGGGACAGCTGTGCAGGTGTGGACAGAGGTCTGGACAAGAGGTCTATGAGAAGGCGAGTGGTGCTGCAAAGAGGGGCGGCCCCGGGCTCTGGGCACCGTGGTGGGAACCAGACAACCGCTGAAACGCACCTGCCCGAGTCTCAACCCCGAAGCCCCATCTCTGGGGCCCCCGCACGCAGCGAGGGCAGCAGCGACACTGCTCTGGAGTCTAGACCCCACGGCCAGGCCCGACTTCTGAGCGGAGCGACATCGATGATCCAGCCCCGGTGGGCTGGATGGGCGGCGGCCCAGCGGCGTGGAGGTTGAGTGCAGAGGCCGTGGCAGCTGCTTGAGGAAAGGAAGGAGTGATGTGGGAGGGCGAACGGGCACCCGGCCCAGCGGGGTCACGGACTGCCTGGCTATCCTGACACAACTACATGACCTGCCTCCTCTGAGTGCACCCACCCTGGGGGCACCGGGCGGCCATCTGGGGGGCCGGCTGCATTCACCCCAGACCTTCCCTAGCTGTAACCAGGCCAAGTGCCTCCTGGGTCAGGAGCCAGGTTATCTCCATAAAACCATGGAGGTACTGTGAGCTGTCAAGGGTTCAGAGGCCGGGAAGGCCCCGAGCAGGGTGGGGTGGGGGCTGGGGAGGGGGCTCCCGGTGTCCTGGGCGGGCGGGGCCCACCTGGAGTCACAGCAGGAGGAGGCTGGGGCTGCGGAGCCGCCTGTACACCTGCAGCAGCCTCTGGGCAGTGGCGCAGGAGCTGGCTTCGTCCTCCGTGCACAGCCGGTCCCGCAGCATCTGCACCTCCCGCAGCAGCGTCTACAGGAAGGGACGGGTGGCAACAAGCTAGGGGCCACCTTCCTACCGGGCACGTCGGCGGGCCCCTCCGAGGCGGGGGGACACCCACCACTCAGATCCCACCCAGGCTGTGGCAGGTGGCCCAGGAAACACACTCCTCTGTGGCCTTAACATGATGACCCCTCGGGACAGGAGGCATGGCTAGGCTGAGGGGAGACCCCATCCCCAGGGGACCAGAATGTTCTAGCCAAGGTGGGACAGCGTGACCGTGCCCATTCTGCCCTCATCTCGCCCCTGCAACAGGAGCCAAGACCTGACTGTGGGCTGAGCGGACTGGGAGGCTCCACCAAGCTGGGCAACACACAGGTGCTTGTGTGTGTGACCCCAGTGGAGCCCTGGCGGGTGGAAGGTTCAGAGCATGGACCCCCGAAGGGCCTCACCTCGTGGTTGGCCTGCATCTGGTGGAGATACTGCAGGCGGAGATCAGGCGGGTTGGAGCCCCGGGCGGCCTGCTCCACCACCAGCCTCTGGGGGGATACAAGGGGTAGGTGGCTGGAGAGGGCACCCCTCCTGTGTGTCCCCAGACAGAGCCCAGGGCTCCTGGCACCAGCCCACAGAGCCAGGCAGCCCTCTCCGCTCGCTGAGACATCCATCAGGCCTCCCTGCCTCGTCCCTAGTTAATCTCCACTCCACACGAGCCCTAGCGTGATGGTCGTTTACTTGGAAGTAACCTTCCTGGTTCCCAGAGAGGATGCTCCCAGATGGATCCAGGCAGCAAGGCCCCCACTGGTCTCTGGGGCAAAAAACTGAGAAGAGACCCCAACACCCCGAGAGGTAGCAGGAGCTGCCACCAGAGGCAGAAAATACACATCTGACAAGGTCCCCCAAATTCTGAGTGGCCAAGTGAATGAAGAACATCCTGTCATAGGTGCACGATGTGGCCGACGGAGGGTAGAGGTCTGCAGCCCACGAGAAGATTCCCATTAGGGGAGTGCCCGCAGCACTCCGTCAGGGGCTGACTCATGCTTCCCAGATTCACACATGGAAGGTCCAGCCCCCAGCACCTCAGGTGATAGTGTTTGGAGAGAGAGGGTCTTCACAGATAATCAAATTAAAATGAGATCAGGTGGGTGGGCTTTAATCCCACAAGGCTGGTGTCCTTCTAGGAAGAGATTAGGACACAGACATGCCAAGGGATGACCCTGTGAGGACCTGGGGAGGAGTTGGCCGTCCACACACCCAGGAGAGAGGCCTCGGAAGGAATCACCCTGCAGACACCTGGAACCTGGCCTCTGAACTGAACCCACTGTGTCCCGTCCACGGCACTTGGTCACCTGGTCCTAGCAGCCCTGGGACGCTAACTCTCCTTCTTGCAGGAAGTCTGGTCAGCATGCTCCCCGCATCCCCAGTTTCTCACTAACTGTCCGCCTCTTAGCTGCCACACTTGGCAGGTCTGGAGACAGCCCTGCACGTTTCAGGCCCAGCAAGAGCAACCACATGGCGCCCTCTGGGGTGCAGGGATGCAAGGGTGGGTGCTCCGCTCTGGGGACAGGAGAACAGATTCCTGAGCCCGGGCGTGAAGCCATGGCTGTGCCATGGCAGGGCCGTCACAGCACGGCTGAGGGGGACCTCTGGTCAGGGCTTGGCACCCAGGCTCGCCTGGGCACACCGGTGGGTCTGTTAATTGAACAGCAGCCTCCGATTCCTGCTGGAACTCGGACTGCAGCTCTCCGACTCTTGGGGTCTGGGGTGGGGCCTGGGCATGGGCACTGCTAAGTTCCCAGGTGAGGCTGACGCAGAGCCCACACGTAAGGAAAAGCGTGGGAATCGGCTGATAACTGCCAACCCAGACTGCTCTGTGCAGCTGAGGCCACGCACACACTCAGAACAGGCTGGAGAGGGGACTCCCGGCCCTGGGACGAGCCTGCCAAGGGCCCCAGCTCACAGATTTCCCAGG